CACCCTCACCAACCTCCTGTTTTCCGGCAATCTCGACAGCTTCTTGGGGAGAAAAAGATTTGAAAACCGAGACATGATGGAAAAGACCTTGGCCGATATTTGAGCTTCTATTGTTCCTGTATCTCAAGTTCGTTAATTAAACCAGTACGCTTCCTGTTAAGAAAAATGAGTAGTTTCCAACACTTTTTTGAATTACTGAAAATGTTGAGTTTGAGCTGAGATATGTTGCTTTGAAGACGGAGGTCAAAAACCGGCATTAATTTCGGGACAACCTAATAAATGGATTTAACAACAACATCTGAAATTAGTACCAAATTTGACGTTCTCATTTTTGATTCTTTTAGTGGCTGTGAACCATTGCTGTGTTGTGCATGACGTCTGCTACACGCATCAACTGGGACAAGAGCAATGTGACGAGGAGTTCTGCGGGTGCAATCGAGTGAGTTCACCTTTGGATCATATAGTCGTACTGTTCTGATTATATCTTGTATCGAGTTCCTACTCCTTGTTGAACTCTTGTTGACGATTGTAATTTTGACTCTTGGCCAGGAGTTGCACTATTGTTCAGAGCTGTGGCTAGGGGCGAACAGGTGTTTTTTTTTTGCTTAACCCGAAAACGGTCAGAAAACAAGTGAAAGAAAAGGATCTCCACCAATTTCCGAAGATGGGGTAACATTCCTGAAGAAGTGCTGAAGGAGAGGGTGTCCATCAATTCAAATACACATTAGTATTAGATCTGGAACCAAGATATGTATTAAATGGTTTGTTTGTTCTGCTCTAAATATCCTTGTACGACCCAATTTTGAGGCCTAGTGCCCTTAACGAGCCCATAGACCCCATTTTTGTGACTAATAGTTACACATGGGAATTAACGAAAAAACCAGCCTTGGCGATCGATGTATGTACATTCCACGTTAATTTTCCATTGAATCAGCAGAGTTGGTTTTAAGCGATTTGAAACTCTTGAAATTTTTTGGTCAAAATATTCTTCAACGTCAATTACCAGAATATTTATTTGATGAAACTGTAGTTGTAGATATCTGCTCCGAGACATTTTTGCAGTCGTTCATTTGCGAAGTATTCCTAACAAGGAAGGTCTTTCAGGGTGTGCCAAGCTTTTTCAAAACGGTCTTTTGCATGATATAGGCACATGCGGGAACCACAGAACCATGGTTAATTTTTCCTGAACGGCCCTCTGAATACCAGAAAAGGGGGTCCCTAGTCACACCTTTTTCACCAGTTTTTCAATCAAAGTCTATTTGTAAGGGTTACTGACGGTCCTAATCATGAATATGGTACTAATTATTCATGCTAACTCCATTTTGCGCGAATTTTGAAACGTCAACTCGAAATGCAAAAATTTGTCACCACGAGGAATCGAACTAGGGACCCCTTTTCTGGTATTCAGAGGGCCGTTCAGGAAAAATGAACCATGCTTCTGTGGTCCCCATATGTGCCCCAATGTCATGCAAGAAACCATTTTGAAAAAGCTTGGCACACCCTGAACGACCTCCCTTGTAAGCAAAGATTCCGAAATGTTGTCAAGCATTTAGCAGAAGAGCGAAAACACCAAAACCATCATAAGCATATGTCGAAATCCTTGCAAATGCAGAATGTGCAAGTTCCCTTGCACGCATTTTAACGCTTTTCGGAGAAAATGTTCTTGTGAGCAGGTAACCCAGAAAAATGTCTATTCCCCACATTTCGGCGCGTGCAGTAGAGGGACATGCTTATTATTGCTTTGAAACCTTCCCTTAGCAACCAAAAGAAGCCATGATACCAATCTGCTATTCAACTTTGCGGTGCACGGTGCACTCATAGACTTGATTCCGTTTTCTTATAAATAAATATAAAATGACCATCAAATTCTTGGTGTTGCTCCCTACTCTTGCAATGTCCTTCGGGGCCTAACTTTTTTCCTATACATTTTCGCCATTTTAAAGCCACTAAGCGGGTTAGATCCCAAGAGCTGAACCTCCCAGCGTGAGAAAGAGGTGTTGTCGGACGCAGGAGGAAAAGTGGAGTCTCCAAACGCAGGAAATGCGGCACGTCACGACTCAAAAGTGTGAGGTAGCGGCACTAACCATGAAGGTCTTGTCTTTGTGGGCTGCCGTGCTGCCATCCTTACCAATAGCGGCATACGGCGTTTGCGCCCTCTCGCATGCTACGTTCTCTCTCGCGTTTTCCTTCGCCTCGCAGCGCTGCGTCTCTACGTCATACCACGGCCGGCCTCATCACAAGAATTTAATGTTTTCTATGGTGCTTTTTGCTTTCTCCCTAGCGATGTTACTCCTTGCACTTGTTGCCTGATTTTCAAAAAAAAATAACAGCGACTCAAAGTTCAGTCGCAACTTGTGCTTTAAATAAGTCGCTTTTTCAGCAAGACGCTTGCCACAAAGATGAGTGCAGCAGTACCTCTTTGTGATAAACATGAGAGGTGTAACCTTGTGATTCGTGAGGCAGGCATGTTTTGCGGAATTGTAAGTGTAGTTTTATAAGAATGCTGGTTTGTGAACAAAACTTTCTCCCCAAACGGAACTCGAACCCACGCATACGCGCTACCAGTTACGCTACCGGGGCGCCATTTCATTCCAACTCATGGTAAGCTCTTCGTGGTATACTTACCATAGCTTGTCAGCGCTCACACGTATAACGGCTTAAACAGGTCAAGCTTCAGCAATGCGTTATGACTCGTTTTTGTTTGTTAGCTGCTGTTTTTGACCGCAGTTCGCCTTGCGAATGTTTCACATGCTGTTTCACAAAATGCTAGGTTGCGGACAAAACTTTCGCCCCAGTTTTGTAAGAGTAGTTGTTCGAGTTGTCCTTCCCTCTCCTCAATCCTCTTCCCCACACCTCTCCCTCCCGCCAGCAGCTCCCTCCCGCTGCTCACGCACACTTGGCCAACATTGTCGCAGCTAAGGGAAGTTCAAAGCGGTTGATCAGCGAACACCCCACCAGAGACGAAGCATAACCTTTTACTGTTTTTTGATTCCTTCTGTCTATCCAACGACTATTGATACCACGAAAGTGACATAGATCCATTCCTTCTCACGTCACATTCACGCCATCATATACAGTCAGCGCACATGGAAGGGGCATTGTAGGCAATACTCAACTCGCATGCTTGCGATAATGCGTTTGGAGAAGTTGAAAATTGGTGAGGAATTCTTCACCAATCGTCAGCTTCTCCAAACGAGTGTCATTTAAATCTTACCATTAAAACTCTTGTGTTGATGCGTAATCAAGTTTTCCTGGAGAGGGTCGTATTTTGGTTTGCTGAAGGTTGAAAGGCTGAGTAGGGTCGTATTTTTTGGAAATGGATGGGGACGTATCTGGAGGGGTTTTTGACCATTATGATGAGAGCTCCACGAATAAAGCGTAAAGTAGACAAAATTGGAATATCAGCTCTCTGAGCCATTATACCCTCCGCCCTTCTTACCATCGACAGTCGTTTCGTTTTGAAGGGAAAAAGTGGATGGCAGGCGTTGGAGCTGTCCAAATTTTTACAATGGGAACAACGGACCGTTGTTTCCGGCCGTTGAGCAGAGGGAGCGCTAGTGTTTATTAGGAAGGCCTCATCGAAAAGGCTCGCAACAACTCGGAAATCAAGGGATGAAGAAATGTTCCATTTCTGGGATTCCAGACTACTTTTGTATTTTTCTCTCTTCGTACATGCATTCACTGACCACCTATCTTTCATCTCCAAACATCGTGCATTCTGCTCTTGAACGTAGAATCCACAATTCTCTCATGTGAGTGTTCGACAAGTGTTGTGACAGTACAGTAACGAGAACAGCTCTTTGAAGAACACTGAAATAACTATTATTGTAATGAATATTTGAATGAATATTTCAGAAAGCTGCCAAGTCGTTGGCCATCTTAAGACGTGACTGTTTGGATCTACTCGAGGCCAGCTGCTCGTTAGTCCAACTATTCGGTTTCGGTGCTTATCGCCACAGCGCGAACTACACAGGTATAACACTAAGACTTGTTGAATTTTCCGTTGTTCTCTATGTAATCAATCTCTTTTGTAGAGCCTGACGACCTCGTCAAACACACGCTACAAAGCAACTCGCTAAACGTTCATTTCGAGGGCATCTACCAGCGGTGCCACAATGTGAACGGTACGCATCAATTTCCACCTTTCTCTAACATTGGTTCTTTTGTGATCGGTTACGGTGATTCGATCTTTGACTGACAGAATTAGAGTGATGCTTAGGAACTTGGGGCGAAAATATAAGATGTAGCCAAGTGAATCGTAATTAAACGTTCGTAGATTTCCGTAAAGAGTTCCAAGTGTCTTCACAGTATGTGCTTAGCGACACACTTAACAATAGCATCGATAGAGAGTTCAGGATTGAAGTTGAAGATGCCTTTTGGTCCATGTTGTAAAACGAGTGCGCCGGGAAGTCGTATTTTTCGTACTTTAATTGGGCAATGTGAGAGTTCATGTCGACGCGAAAATGTGCGCTCAAACGGTGCTTCTTACAATAAGGATTTGAGAGCTGCAAAAGAGACAGTACTGCACGAGCCCATCGCAATAATTCCAGGGCGGATACTAACTATTGAAAGGCCAGGGTTGTTCAGCAAAATAGGCTCTTGCGCTCTCGCCACTGACATACTAGGAGCAAAACTGGCACCCTCTGCCAACCAGCTCACCATGTAAACCTCGAAAATTGCACTTATCAACGGTATGCAACAATCCTCGAGGCTCGTCGGGGATATGTCCCCCAAGGTCGTACGCATCAAGCCCCGAAAGTCGTCGAGGGATATCTTCTTCAGGTCCTGCTGCAAACGACTTCAGAGACGTATCCCCGACAAGCCTTGAGGCTTTTTGCATACGGCCCCTTGTATAATTGTGGCATGTCTTTTCAAGTTATCCTTCGATTCATTCAAAAGAATGCTGGGCTTTACGGTGAAGAGGGGTTCAGGGCATATCATATTATATAATGTTGTGAATCCATAGCGCTAATTTATTCTTCCAGCGACATTGTCGTCCTGCGCACTTCAACATAATTTGTGTGAGGATTCGCCAAATGAATGTGCCCAGACACTTTCCGAATGTTTACTCGATGCGGCTAGCGTAGATGGAAGTGAGTCTTGTCGCGAGGCTGTGGCACTGATGTCCAGTGCAGCACTGAATGGTGAGGAGCCGCAGAGAAAGAAATTGTCCTTGAACCAAGTTTCATTCTGTTCCATAAGTATTGTAGCATTCAAAAGCGATTGTTTATTTCAGAAGCCGACAAATGGCAGAATTTCTTCAGAATCGACTCTTCCCTAGGATCCGGATATACGGGGTGAGCCTATTTGGTGTAGAATCTCATTATGTCGCTCGGCCCACGCGGACTCAGACTATGTCCAAAACAGCTGAAAACAGTTGAACTCCACAAAAGGCGCTTAACATACTCAGTGTGATGACTACAAGTTGCCGGAGTACAAGTGCCTAACCATGGGATGAAAGCGCTGATTCCATTCATCATGAAAGTATGGATACCTAGTTGACTGAGAATGAAGTATAACCGTCCATGAAACCCTTACCGAGGACCTCTCTTGTCCATCTTGAGATGAGGAAGAGACGTCTCCAGACGAGTTTTAATATCTGCATCAATGTAATGCATCATACCTATAAAAATATATAGTCTGTCCTTCCGTTACGTCGTGAGCCACGCTTGCTTGCGATCTTCAGGGCCAGTAAGGGGATGACGTCCAAAAGGTTGAGGGAGTAGCGTTAGAGTCGGCCCAACGCCTTATAGCATCTTTTCAGGGGCATTTCTCGCTTTACAACACCTCATCTCTTCCCGACTAGGATCCATGCATATTTTCGCTTGATTAGTAGCAACTTGTATGGACCCATCCGAGGCTTACTTGTTGCTTTAAGTACTAGTTTCACTTGTCGCTTGGATCTCTCCTTCGCAACATTTATTCAAGTCTTTGTCGTTTTCAAATGCTATGCCCATCGTCTTCCTGTTCCATCGCGCACTGCAACTTAATTTGTGAGCGAGCCACTTACAGTACTCGTGACTAACCATAACCCTTGGAAAGAGGAATGGATTGTAAGGGAACGGAATGGATTGTAAATGGAACTACCAGCGGATTTCAAATGACCTGTTTTCAATGCCCCCCTGAGCCCATTTTTTTTGTTTATTGGCCGCGTTAGATCAAAAACAAATGGTTTCCAAACTTGCACCTGTCCGCTGCTGCACATGCCCGACAGCAGATCAACATCTGACGTGTCACTCGTTTGTGATTTTGAGTGCTAACACCGAAGATCCCCTGAATACAGATAATATATGCGGTGCCTAAATCCATTGAATTTCTTCGGTTTGTTATCAATAATTTTTTCTTTCAGAAAATGCTCATGGGAGCTTGTTTGGTGGCGTTGGTGTATTTTGTTCTACGACTGCGTAACGCCACGAAGTTCGACGAGAAATCGCTTAAATATTCGCCAGTCTGAATCGGCAACAAACCGTCACGTACCGATCCTGTCCGTAGCACTGACACTTTAGCACGTTATCGATTGATCTCAGACTTATGGGACAGCATGGATGAAGGAAGCGTCGGAACATATTGTGATATCACACATTTCGTATACATACTGCTGCAATAGATGTTACGAGTTGTTTCGTGTCTACACTTTTTTGTGTGCTGCTGTATTTCTTTTTATGAATCAGGGGCATAGAGATCCGTCAACCGAAAATTGAGTCTTGGACCGAAACAGAAATAGCACGAAATGAGGAAATTCAAAGATCTGAGACCTGTGATCATACTGAAGCAAAAGAAAATATATACATAAATGGGGAGAAGTGTAAAGCTATGAAGTCCGAGGCCAACTTCTCTCAGGGAGGAGTGATGCAAAAATAACATTCGGCATAATTATTGGACTGCCGATGGTGAAGTTGTAAGCGCTTGCAAACGTATTGTGCGAGGGTCCAATTGAATACTTTCTTGGGCTGATGAAATATTCCGCTCCTCCACATAAGAATATTTTCATATCGTCTAACCTCCGCACGTCCTTGTACGTATCAGGTTGGCACACAATTTCTGAACCACTTCATATTTATTGCCGTAAAAA